CGCAATGAGCATTGTGCTTTGGTACTTTTAATATGAAACAAAGTCGCAGATTTCAAATTCTGTCCATTGCATTGCAGTATTCAAACAATAAATGCCGTTTTGGCGCTGTTTAATGTGGAGTGACAGATCGATAGCGCCTCAGTTCAACAGACGAGGCAGCGCGTGGCGCACGTTTCAGCACAAAATAAACATGACTAAACACATGAAGGTAAGTTAATAGAAAGGGTGCAACTTTACAAGCTGTATCCTGTCTCATGTAATCGCTCAATCAGTGTTTCAGCCGCGCAAAGACGTCAATATAAGAGCTTGTAAACAATGTCACGTAACGTCACATTTACCTCAGAAAAACATATTCGTTGACCATAAACTCATTAGTCAGATAGAAAAATAAACTGTAGAGTGGGGCATTTTGCTAAATATATGCACCATATAACATATTCATTATAAATTTGACTGTAAAATAAGATTTTATGACAGCCACCATTATGTTTATATTTTTAAAAAATGAATTGAAGTAGAAATATTATTATGTAATTGTAACTTTATTGTTTTAAAAACTTCATTAAATGTAATTTTAACAAATCAATCCATTTTAACCTTCAGTATTATAGTAATGTAGAACCAACTGACTCTCATGTATATTTTACAGCATTAGTTGAGAAAAAAAATTTTTCCCTTGAGAAAATTTGGCATGTACCGTAGGCCTACATGATATATAGCCAAAATAATCAATATTGAATTGAATTGGTGAATGAGAATCGAATCGAATCGTGAAATTTGTGTCAAAACCCAGCCCTAGTGTTTTCCCACTGATAAAATATGACAACAGACATTTTAGAAAGGTTTTAATTATACTAATACTTCAGCAAGAGCTGAAACGATCTGCAATGGCAAGGTAGTTTCACACTGCAAAAATAAAATAAAATATTTGCTATTAAATGACTTATTTCTTGTTAGAAAATTTCACATTGAAAAGTAAATAAAAATGTAAATAAATTAAAATGAAATAATAAATACAATAAAATTTCAATATTTACTCAATAAATTTCTTTAATAAAATAATAATTTATTGTTTGTTGTTGTTTGATTGACAAATATTCAGCTCTAATGAGATAAAAGACACAGATGGGAATAAAAAGGCCTATTAGGTAAGGATTCGGATGATAACAATAAAATTAAAGAAATAAATGACAAAACTGTTTTGAACATTTAAAATTAACGTTGTTTCCCACAAATTATAGAAGTGTGTCATATAATATCAAACACAAATTACACTGTACAGATGATTGTTAAGAAGAACTCAAAGCTTTTATGTTGACTTAAAGGCAATGAAAGCTCAACATCAGAGACATTTTGAAAATATGTTTTTCCTATAATATTTTTTACTCTATAAAAGCACTCATAATCCCTATTTTAAGATAAAAACCTGCTCCTGTGTGTGCTGCGTTAGCACAGGGAGAACCGGCGAGAGTTGATGTTCATCTTGGTGACCCCGATGACCTTTAGCGGCACTGAAAGGCCTAATCCAGGAGACATGGGGACGTCACACAAATCAGACATATCGTCCCGCTCCTCCAGCTCAAACGTGGCGTCGTTCAGCATCTTGTGATGTTGGTTACACGTCTGCACGATTCTCAGATTGTTAATGTCACTGCGCAGGCGCATTAGCTGACGCGCGAGCTGCTGGTCCTGCAAACGCATCTCTGCCTGCGACAGAAGGGAAAGAAGGTAAACAGCTACTAAAAAATGAATATCCTGTAGATATAATGCATTTTATTGTGTGGCATTTCTGCAGCACCCGTGGCAGTAAATGGAGATGTAAAACTAATAAATGTTTCCAAACAGGTTTCCAGCCTTCTCTTCAGACAAAATCTGCCATTATTCAGAAAACAGGGTGAAACTGAGGTTGACATTTCAAGTTGCTTAAACTAGTGGTGTGGATTTTGATTCATACCTGTGAATCTTTTCATACAATTCACCACAATTTTTTTTTTCTGATTTGTTCATTCAGTGGCCCTTTACATTGTTACACCAGAATGTGCCGTCAAATGTCTATGAATCAGTGATTCGTTCACTGAACTGTTTTGTTAATAATGGCCAATATATAAAAATGCTGATCCAAATAAATAATAATAAAAATATAGAATAAAAATAATAATAATAATTTATAGAAATGGGCCGTTTTTAACAAATTGGTTCAGTAAACAAATGGTGTAACAAAGTAAATGGCCACTAAAATAACAAATCTGAACAAAAAAAATTGGTAAATAATTTCTAAATAAATGTGAAAAATTTTTATAAAAAATATTTTATTCTTATTATTCTTATAATTTATTAAACTATAATAATAATAACAATAATAATAAAAGGATTTTTAAAATGTATACAAATCAAAAATCTTGGTTTTATAAATTATATATATATATACAGTGGGTACGGAAAGTATTCAGACCCCCTTAAATTTTTCACTCTTTGTTATATTGCAGCCATTTGCTAAAATCATTTAAGTTAATTTTTTTTCCTCATTAATGTACACACAGCACCCCATATTGACAGAAAAACACAGAATTGTTGACATTTTTGCAGATTTATTAAAAAAGAAAAACTGAAATTATATATATATATATATATATATATATATATTATAATTTTTATGTATTTTTTATATGTGCTATATATATTGTTTACTATGCATTTTACCCCCAAATGACAACAAAGCAGATTCTTTTTTTTTTTTTCATTTACTTGTACAGAAACCAAGCTGAAAAACTCACCAGCTGTTTCCTGAGCCACTCCAGTGCTTGGCCAATGCTTCCGAATCGCAGTGTGTTTCCTGACGACTGCCTCCCTTCATGAACCACACTAATGCCCAGTGACGGCTTCGTCCACTTCATGGGCCGTGACGTTCTCTGTCTCTCGGGGTCACCAGGGGCCGCTGACGGCTCTGAGTCTCTGTGACTCTGAGCGAGCATCACCTCCAGCTGCGCTCTCCAGTCCAGGTAAGACGGCTTTCTCGTCTCCAGTTTGAGCTTCTCAGTCAAAGCCTTCAAACTGGAGAGGTGGTCAACCTGCGATGCAGCAAGGCTTTCTAGGGTCTTCGATGCGTGTGACATTACCACTGGCTTTACACAGTATTGCTTACAGGGAAACTAAAAAGCATTCAGTGAAAAATCTGGATAAGTTGGCAGACCGACATCATATTGTTTGAGAAACCTGGATCCATGGACGCAAACATGCAATTATCTTTTGAATTAGAGAGATTTTATATCACACTTTTTAATATTTCTATTTATTTTTTAAAAATACATCTATATATTTTATTTTTAGTTTATAGCTTTAGTCATTTTAGTACTTAAACTTAAACTAATGAAAATAAGAAATGTTGTCTTGACAGTTAGCTGAAATGAAATAAGTTTAAAGGCATAGTACAGTTGGTGGTTGCCATTGACTTCCACAGTAGGAAAAAGAATACTATGGAAGTCAATGGCAACCACCAGCTGTTTGATTACCAGCAATTTTCTAAATATCATATTTTATGTTCGACATAAGAAAGCAACTCATACAGGTTTGGAACGACATGAGGGTGAGTAGATGATGACAGAATTGTCATTTTTGGGTGAACTATCCCTTTAAGTTTTTTATATTTGATTTTATTTGGTTTAATGTTTACTTTATTTTAAGTAATGAATGAGGTGACGTATCCATCATATGATACAACATAAAGAGTGAACAGCAGCTTTTGCATAAATGGATGAACAGATCCCTTGTAAACTGCCCAAAGTATTTATTGTGGTGACAGTTTGTCTGCTTTTTGCGCAGGTGATTTGTGCAACATATCATGCAGTCAGTTCATTACAGTCAGGAGATGCCCATATACCTCTAACATGACAATATCACTTAATGGCCAATTTCGAATTGGTTCCAAATTAGGATTCTTTTAGGAATTCTGACAAGTAGCACAATTACACAGTTAAGACTTTCTTCAAACG